GACAAAAATAAAAGCTAATGGACAATTTGAAGAGCTTATAGATTAAAATATTCAAAAGCCCAAGGTTCCTTGAGTGCGATGAATTATAAAGACCCATTGGAGGCCGAAACACTAAACTTAATATAAGAAAACTAACTTTACGCGCTTAGATAAAATAAAGTTTCCGGTTTTTAAATATTTAATATTTATTATAAAAAAAAAAATCATATAAAACCATACACTCAATCGACTTAAATAGGAGAAACACAGTATATTCGAATTCTTAACTTATAAACTCTATTAAACTACTAAGTAAATACTTTTTTTCTGTACTTCATTCCATTAAATAAATCAAAAATTATTTTGTCTCGTTGGTCAATGCCTGCTTCTTTGTTTTGGTGCAGTAATAACGGTCACTGTTCTCAATCCAATCGCAGACATTCAAAATTGTATGGAAAGCTGTGCCCTCCTTGCACTCAAATTCGACTGGCTCGCCATGCACGCAGCGATAGTACTGCAAATATATGAGTAAGTATTCAATTAGGCAAACTACTTGGATGTTGGCAGGAGGAAAATGAATTTCATAAATTTTTTTCATAATATTTAAATTTTTGTTTAATGCATTGTTAGTGTAATATTCGAAAATAACGGCTGTTACTCGAATTATTATAATGAAATGCTCGTGTTTAAACTCTTAATATAAGCGATTCGTGGCTCGCCGATAGAACAATTTTTCATAAATTTAATTCTACAAATACCTTACCTTTTGACAGTTTGCATGCGGTATAAAATCCTTATTCGTACAGTCAATGTCGGGCACTTGATTACCGCCTGTTGTGCTAATGACCTCTGGCTTGGGTTCTAAAATCTCCAATTCACCAGCTTCATTGCTGGTCGTAGTTGGTATTTCGGTTGTTGTTGCAGTAGCAACGGTTGGCCTTGGCTTTGGTCGTGGTTTGGGTTTCTTAGAGCCCTTTGAGGGTTTCTGAAATACAAAAATTAGTACCATTAGTTATGTAGCTGCGAATAAAGGAAGCTCTGTGAATACCGCCCTGTAAACAATTGAAAAATGGACAAAGAAATTCCTAACTCATATAAAATTTGCGCGCGGTACCTTCCCTGGCCTTCATAGAGCTAAACGAAATGCATGGCGTTGAAACCAATCCATAAGTCTAATCTTTAACCGACACACAGATACACCGTAACCGCTACGATCGTGGTCGTAAACCACTTGCTGGAGAAGAAGAACTGTCCGCGATTCATTCCATTGGTAAGAGATAGAGGCTCTCGATTTAAGTAATTTTATTGGTCTAAGATAAAACAGAGCTCCGAAGCTGCCTATAAGAGCCCTCCATCTACTCCAAGAGGTAATCAGGGTTCTGAGCTAACCTATGGCTCGCTTTTGAACAGATGGGTCTCATACCAGCGTACTTTGGGGGCGAAAACTAAAACATGAGAAATTGAAAGTTCCTTCTTGACAATGGTGGATGCGGGCGGTAGAAGGGAACATCTTATAATAACAAGCCCATAGCACTCTTTGTTTTGCAGTTTCTGACAGGCCATCGTCCGATCGGAATTCATGCGATCAGAATAAAAATCAATCTTCGNCTGACTCCGGAATATCCGCATATTAAAAAAAAAAAAACCGGATACAACCCCCAGCCCAGTTGCTAAGAATAAATTTTTACCGCTGACGTTATCATTATCGAAATGGGTGTCGATAGCGATATGGTTTCGAATTTGCCTTAATATTTTTTTATTTCCCTATTTTATCTCTCTCAGTTTTCCCTGGATTAGTCTTCTAAATACATACATAAATTTGTAAATGTATAAATTTTATTCGACTCCCTTCAAACTACGAGTATTTAGTAATTTACCTTTTTTTTGTTCACTCATCGTACTTTCAGCGCTGCTGACATTTTTAGCC